AATCGTACGGTGTCGAATAATTTGGTGTCGAATAAATCTGTGTCGAATCGAGCGGTGTCGAATCGTACTGTGGTCAAACGGAACCCGCCCCCTCGCACATCGTTAGGTACTATGTTTGCCATTTTCTTTTTTAACATTTCAAATGTGCTCATTTGAAAACCATAACAACCTTTAACAATCTTGATATACCGATTTAATGTTTCAATTGAAGGTAGTGTTAAAATATTATGAGATCTCAAGTGATTGTACGTTTTTGCACTTTTAATCCAAAGTAAAATGCATTCATATACCCATTCATTCAAATATCTCATACCTCTGTTATCTTTTAATTTTGCTGCTGCAAAACAAGCTTGTACTGCGAATTGTTGATTTTGTGGTAATTTGGAAATAGTTTTTTCGATTATTTTTTCATTATATTGAGAACACTTATGTTTCAAATGTTATTTTATTACATAATTTTATAATCTATAAACAAATATGTTAAGTTAAAAAAGTAACAACAAGATATGTATAAGGCCATACGAGCCATTCTCAAGATGTTCTGAGTAGAAACTTGTACGTGTATATATATATACATACACATGTAACAAATTCAACTTGTAAGTTTTTACAAGTGAGTGTTTTTTGAATTTAAAACTCAATTCTTAAAATCATACAAGATGTCAGATTTGCATCTTACACATGACAGACCCCGGATACCCCCCTAACTAATTTTAAAATTTTGCAAAAAAAAACTCCTCGGCCAGGAGTCGAACCTGGAATCTCCGGCTTTCCGTGCCATCGCCTTCCCTGTTTTTTTTTTCGCAAAATTTTATAATTAGTTAGAGGGGTATCCAGGGTCTGTCATATGTAAGATGCAAATCTGGCATCCCGTATGATTTTAAGAATTGAGTTTTCAACTCAAAAAACACTCACTCGTAGAAATTTACAAGTTGAATTTGTTACATGTGTATGGGCGGGTTCCGTTTGACCACAGTACGATTCGACACCGCTCGATTCGACACAGATTTATTCGACACCAAATTATTCGACACCGTACGATT